ACGGCTTATGTGGGCGAAGAAGGAGAAGAATTAGCCGAAATTTTAGCCGAAATTGAAAGAGAATTGACCGAACAAAAAGAACACTTTTACCAGGAAGGAAAATTTTTGGAAGCCGAAAAGTTAGAAAAAAGAGTACAAGCCGACTTATTTAATTTGCGGGAAATGGGTTTTTGCCCCGGCATTGAAAATTATTCTCGTTATTTTGATGGCAGAAAAGAAGGCGAAACTCCCTTTACCCTCTTAGATTATTTCCCTTCTGGTTTTTTAACTATCGTTGATGAATCTCATATTACTATCCCACAAGTAAAAGCCATGTATAATACCAATCGTCACCGGCTAGAAACTTTAATAAAACATGGTTTTCGTTTACCTTCGGCGCTCGATAATCGACCGCTCAGTCAAGCAGAATTTTTTGAAAAAATTAATTATTCTCTTTATGTTTCTGCCACCCCGGGGGATTTTGAATTAGCCAAAGTCAATTATCAACCAGTCGAGCAAATTATTCGTCCGACCGGTCTTTTGGATCCGCAAATAGAAGTAAGAACCACCCGCAACCAAATTGCTGATATTATTGACGAAATAAAAGAAAAAAGCAGTCGCGGAGAAAAGGTTCTTATTTATGCTTTAACCATTGCCATGTCGGAAGACATTGCTAGTTTTTTACAAGAGAGAAATATTCGGGTTGTTTATCTCCATAGCCGATTAGAGATTTTTGAGCGGTATCAGGCGATTACTAGTTTGCGACGAGGAGTGGATGACGTAGTAGATGAAAACTATTATTAAATGAACTTTTATTACGATAAAATTTTAGAACTCACTGAATTATAATGCTGAATTAATAAAAAAATTGGATTCAATTCTCAAAAAAACTAATGAATAAGAATTACCACTCAACATACCAGAAACTGTGCCAACACCATGAAATCTTAAATAGATTTTTTCACTTAATTAATAACTTAAACTGAATTACTAACATTTATTTGCTTGCATGACTAAATAAATATAAATCCAAAAAATTATGTTTGATATATCTTTCTTGTAATTATTATTTATAATTCATATGACTAATCTGCTTGCTTGTTTTTAGTTAAAGCCTATAAATGTATAAATGATAATTTTTTACTTTGACAAAGTGAACATAAATTATAAAATTATATATAGGGATAAGTGTATATGAAAAATAATAATAAATATAATGGTTCTAATGAATATCAAAAAGCAATTGATTTTTTAGAAAAAGGTTGTAAATGTGGTTGTTCTTCAAGAATCCCCAAAGAAGGATTTGCAGAATTAAGGGAATCCTTTCAAGCTCTCATTAAATTAGAACAAGACATATTTTTAATGGCCCAACTTAAAGCAATGGATGGTGGATCAATAAGCACTAGTAGATGCCTTAAAAAGAAAACCAGATCTAACAAAAAATTTTTCTATCACTGGGATCACAATACACTCCTTTGTCAAGAAACTTATTTCAATATGCTAGGGATTGGTAGAACTTATTTTGAACATATCAGAAATCACCTGATAAATAATGGTCTTCTACCAAGAATTCATGGCAATATTAAAAGAATGCCTCAATTGAAAACTAAAATGGTGATTGATAAAAATGTTGCAGAAGTAGTAAAGAATTTTCTGGAAATTATGCAGAAGTTCATGGATTACCAAGCCCAGGAAGAAGTATCAATAGAATAACCCAATCAATTGTATTCTTACCAGCTGAAATGAGTTACAAATCAGTGTATAGAGATTTTCTAGCTGGTCTGGAGGAAGATAGTAATTTGAAATCCTTAAAATATGATGCCTTCAGGAAGTTATGACATCAATTAACACCAGAAATTCAAATTATGAGTCCCAGGACTGACTTATGTGATACTTGTCAACATTTTAGAGATGGTTTACATTACAATGCTCGCCAAGAAGAAGAAGCCAAAGAATTACTTAAAAGATTTAAAGAACATCTGTCTAAGGCTAAATTAGAGAGAAATTATTATAATAAAAATACCAAATTGGCAGAAGAACAAAGAAAATTAGTTAATCAGAATTATTCCAAGGGTAAAACACAATATTGTAGTATTGATGCTACTGCTCATTATAGTTATGATTGAGCCCAAAATGTTCATATACCACATTCAGATCAACAAGTAAGTAAAATATATTTACGTAAAGTCCATTTGTTTGGTATTCAAGATGAAGCAGTAAGGGAACAAATTAATCATGTTCTTGATGAAGATGAAATCATAGGAAAAGGTCCTAATGGTACACTTAGCATGATTTTTGATGGAATTAAGAAATTGAATAGAGGTGAAAAGCATTTAAAGATTACTTGTGATAATGCTGGTGGACAAAATAAAAATAATGTAACAATTTGGTTTTATT